AATTTGAAAGTTGCAGGTGATGCAGAACATCGCAGAACAGCGTCGAATTGCGACCGCCGGGAAGGCATACAGAGAGATGATCGACGACTTTCACATCCATCTTTCGGAAATGATTACTGGTAACATGGATCGCTATCGGATCGTCTAGCCCAGATGCTTCTAGCCTCTATGAACGCACTCGTGCCTCGGGAGACGACGGCCTGGGGCACAGGGTGCTGATTTTCGTGTCATTGAAGGCTACTGTTTATTTTATTTTTTACTTCCACGATGTGAACGGAGGCATTGATGATCGAAGATTTGCAACAGGGCCGCTACCGGTAGATTGAACTTTCAAAACGGCGAAGCCTACAGGCACACAGGGCCTAGGTGAGTCAGCGTTCTCGAGCGCAGGACGTGTTTTACATCCGTGATTCCAGACCCAGACAGCCACATGTAAATCCTCGCTCCATTTCTCTGATACCGGCAGGCCTAAGTACCATCAGAACGTTCAATAGATTGTTACCATCCAAGACCCGAAGGGTATGCTTACAGGTGCAAGGTACCTATAGACATGTCGGCTAACGACCTTGGCTAGCCATCGACTGCATTATCTTCCATGTCCACATCCCCTTGATGTTCTTCTGCTTGCTCGACGCTAATATGACCCGCCGGCCTCCACACGTTCCCTGCAGTCATCTTCCACAGACGTATCCGCCCATCTGTGCCCGCAGACGACAGCGTCGTTCTGGTCGGGGAGATGTATACCATCAGCAAGAAAATGTGCACAGAACTGATTTCAGCACTAACCCAGTTATGTTCCACTCAACCCGCCCCACAGCGGACCTGCAGAGATCAAGCACGCGTGAACTGTCAGAACATCTTCATCCCAGATAGGAGTGCAACTGACTTGTGGTCGTCAAAATCGCCCACAATACTTGCGGTCCATTTTTCCTCCACGGCGCTCCCGTCCCTCTCGCCATCCAGCTCGTCTCCAGGGGTCGGTGGCCGCACACGCCATATCCGCACATGGCCGTCACGTCCACCCGTGGCAACAAGGTGGTACGAACGACCACAAGATGGCGCCCACGCGACAGTTGTGATTGCGTACGGTGCCGGCGTATCGTCGTTCAACGCCGCCTGTGTCCTACTCGCGCCCTCGCCGATGCTCGCGTGCGCAGGTGCAGGAGTTGGGTCCAGGGAGAGCAGTGTCGCTGGACGACGGGACGAGAAGAGCTGGATGATCTACGGATACCACAGTTGTAAGCGCATTCGTGCGTCGGGAGAACGAACATCGGCGTAGTGTTGTACCTTCACAATGCCGTTGATACCACACCCAGCGGCGATTATTTCCCCCCAATAACGGTCTTTGCACCACGAAAGACACCAGCCTCCGTCTGCCTATGGTACAAAAAATCAGTACGAGACAGGCTTTAACCAAGATGTGATGCCTGCCTCCCTAAATCCCAGCCCAGGCCTGCTAGGCATCTGACTTTGCTGTTGTTGTTGCGCCGCCGCATGTGCGGCCACCGATACAGATGTTGCGTCGAGCCCTACCCCTGGCTGGGTAGGTGTGGCAAGTGTGACAGTGGGTACATTTGATCGCTTCCCGGAGGAGGATGGAAGGGAGAGGACGTCGACCTCCTCGCTCAATTGCCAGGTATTCAGTGATGGCTGCTCGAGACACTCGTATATCCGCAGGTGGTTGTCCGACGCGATTGTCGCCTGCGGGCCGTACATATCGTGATGAGCACAGAATGACGCAAAGTCGACACAAATGGCGAGGGTCATATACTACAGCAGGATGCACGCACCAGCTTCAACCCAAACTGCTGGGGCGCAAACTCTACCGCACGCACGGTGCCCTTCGCGTCAACCAGCATCGCACGCTCCACCCACCGTGCTGATGGTCCTGCGCCTGCATCCGCGTCTGACGCGGATGCGGGTACCTGCTCCCATACCTTCACCGTACGGTCGAACGACGCGGACGCGACGATACTCCCAAATTCAGGGTGAGCCCACGCCACTTGCGCGACAGCAGCATCGTGTGCCTGTTGTGTTTACGCTCGGCATTCGACACTACGAGAGCATCGAATGAAAAGCGTACCTTCCAGTCGTCCTCGACGTTCCATGTGCCAGTAGTTTCGTCCAGCCGCCATATTTTGATTCTAGCAATGATAGGTTGGAGGCAAGGAAGTAAAAAAGCGTGATTTAGGATATTTGACACTCAGAATAACCGCATGGACACGAACCTCTGATCGAGGCTGCACGTCGCGAGCCGCAGGCCATAGAAATCATAGGACGCGTCGGTCAGAAGGTCATTGTGAGCGTTGGAAATAAGCCCTGTTTGCAGCATATTTCGTGTACAGTGGGTTCCTGGGAACTGCGCTGCAGTAGAATAAATTTGAAAAGTCTTGTGGAGATGGTCAGAGACAAAGGATTGTGGCAACTTGCAATCCTCGTAAACGCTTGTCGAGCGCGTCGCGCTTCTGATCGAGCCCGCGGCGCGCGGCTCGTCTCCACCGACGTCGACTTCAAGCTGATCTTGCTTCACTCACTCGCGTTGAATTCATGACGACTAGGGACATTCGTATTTAGCCATCGACGCGCTTATTGCACTTATATGAAAGGCGAAACTCTAGTCCATGGTAATATCGCATGATGCGAGGTGTCACCTTACTAGTACCACTATCAATAACCAAAGGCCAGGCGTATCTAGTCGGACTATGGCAACATTTGATATCGTCGCAAGTAGTAAGTTCAACTCTCTGGTAAATGTCATGACTCCTCGCAACTGTCAGGTCAAACTTTGGACTACAGCCTACAGGCAATGTTCATTGTGCCGTAATACGTCGCCTTCACTCCGAGGTTCTTCAGGATATCCTTCTATTCCCGCGATGCGTCGTCGGCTGCTGCCAGGTGTTTAGGTGTATTTGCTTTCTGCCCCTTACCATCTCTCCACGAGCTGCATCGCTGGCGACAGCGGCCTTGTCACCCTTTTTCGGTGACGCTGTTTCGACCAGATTTAGTGATAAAGGCCTTCGACCATGGTGGAAGACGCAAGATTGTCCCTAGGCAGTAGAAGGTCTTACAACAGCTCACATCATCATCGATAGAAATCGTACAAGGGAAAATATTCCTCTGAGAGACATGATATCAATATTGATTTAGCGAGAAGAGCATTTATCACGAGTTGTAGAACAGGCTGTCTGTTTGATTGTACGCTACAGAGATGGGCTCAGCTGCAACGATAGTAACGTTGGTGAGTGGTAGAACGCTGAAAAAATAGATCGCATAATAAAGGAACGGTCATAAATGTCTTTCTTTTGCTTATGGCTGCCGAGTTCGCCCCTCGAAACCTGTCGGTACGTGGTTGCGTTCTGTCCATTTAAATCCAGATTCTGAACGTATAATGTTATAGTAGCAGCAGTAGCGTTCCTGAAGTCTCATGGCCTCGCTGCTAAGCCCGTGATGTGCTTCAGGTTTTTTTTCTTTCAAATTACCCGCATCACTTTGAGCAATACGATCTGATATCACGGTGGTCGTCGTTGTCAAGCAATCGATGCAAGAGCGATGAGAGTCCATCACCAAGGGCATGTTCACGCTTATGCGTTCTCTGAACATGCTCTTTGGAAATGCGCTTCTGACAGCTTCATTATATGCGCACGCGGGTGCTTCATGAATCATGGCTGTACCTTGGTCTAATCATAGTAGAGGTATCATGTATGTGCAGTTTTATAAGCTGAAGCGACAACACATATCTACAGATACATGCCGCGAACGCGATTGCCTTTTAGGTTGCAATCTCTATTGACCGTGTCCCTGTCTTCGATCACTCGCACTGGACATGTCATGACCATCAGTGCAATCCAAGAGCAAAAGGGAGAGTTTTTCCGAGAGTGTGATTTAAACTACTCAGGCAGCCCACTGAGTTGTGAAGTTTATGATCATACAGATTTACATTTGTTTTCTATGAATATAAGAATAAGTTAAGATAAACATATAACACATGGCATGCGGATGAAATCGATGCCAACCGCTGCGCTTTGGGATGGACGATAGGTACAGCGTATAAATTGACGAAGGAGTGGGACGTGGTGATGAAGGAAGAACAATCTTGGCTTTGTCGAAGATAATGAGCGTCTGGCAGCAACGACAATGGTCGTATACCACAAGCGCGAACCGGTCGCGGTAGATCTCGTGTGCCGTGGTGGCTAGAGCAGATTCGATATTTGACGTGATGATTAGTTGACGGTGGCAGGGACATCAATGCAGTGTCTGACGTATGGAGGAGCTGTATTGTCGCAGATCGGCTCTTATGATTTCAGGATGAGAACCGCGACGACGATGGCGATGGTGGCGGCGAGAGAGAAGATGGAGAATGCGATCAGGCATCGTTTCGCCCACCTGACTTCTGCGCGTCTGAGGGACTGTATCAGAGCCTGCCTCTCGGCTTCGGTCTTGTTCGTCTCCCAATCTTCGGGAGCAAGAAGTGGAGAGAGAAGAATGAAGGCACCGGCAACCCAGAAGAGAGGGAACACTGCACAAGTCACAAATTAGTATAAGCTCTAAGGGCAGAAACAGGAGAACACTCACGGAAGCCAAACTTGAACAGGTACATGGCGAGTGTGGGGTGCTCCTCAAAGCGGGAGTATGCAGGAAGCTCCGACGATTCTGAGTATGGCGGCAGAATGTCATCGTGATGTACGGGTAGGAGGAATGCGTCATGACGGCTATCCTGCGTTCCATGGAGAGATCGCGACGTCCGAGATGCCCCAAAGAACTCGTCGAGAGGGTCAATAGCCGCTGTCTGTTCTAGCAAGAGGCTAGTGCGGGGGGTATGCGTAATTGCAGAGATGGGTGTGCTGAAAGAGGAGTCGAAGGACTCGTATGTTCCGGCTACGATTTGTGCTTCAATATCGCGAGTGTCGAGGACCGTGAAGGATGATGATGTAGCGGGAGACATTGGCAGCAGCTGAAAGAGGCTAATGCTAGCTATTGCGATAGGACAACGAAGGGATTTGGAGGAGAGAAGTCGGACGGCGGACTGGTGAGATCATGGTGAACGGGAGCGGATATATAGTCCCCTAGCGGGTGCAGAGATAGCGACGAGCAAAAAAGCAATCGAGGAATTTACCGACAGACGAACACCTACGAAAACATGGGCAATCGTATGCGCGCCCGCGGACCCAAACAAGGACCCACAGACGTATACTCCGAACCAGGATCACGTGTGCCTCCCATCTGCTGCTTGTGCCGCTGCGGTCACCGGCGTTCGCTAGGCCGAACTCAACCCAACCACCTCGAACTCACTCCTATCTATCCTGTGTGCTCGATCCCGCCCAAAAAGATAATACTGCGCATTTACTGCTGCAACGTCTCCGGATGTCATTGTTCAATCGTATTGGTCCTGTCTTTCCATCAGAATTATTTGACTTCATCATCGACTTTCTCTGGGACGACCGCCCTTCGCTGTGCGCTTGCAGTCAAACCTGTCGGGGCTGGCTTCCACGCACTCGTGTATATCTTTTCAGGAAAATCACACTTGCGGAGAGAGACGATTGCTACAATCTTCAGAGACTTATTGACGCCACCGCAGCTCGTGCAGATCCACTCGGTGGCTATGTCCGTGAGCTTTCGATTACCCGTATCTGGGCACGGGGAGGGGACCCTTGCTTCTCATCAAGATATTTTCGTGAGCTTATCCCCAGTCTCGTAGCAAGACTGATCTACGTCGACCAGTTGAACCTGACTGGTCTTAGTTGGGGAGGGATATTTGAAGTGCGAGCAGACGTGGTGGCCAAGTTCCTGACCTTATATCCAGCACTGAAGGTGCTCCGCCTCACACGAATGACCTTCAGGAGTGCACAAGATCTTTATTCGCTGCTTACCGCTCATCCATTACTTCATACTCTGTATATCACATCCGTCAACTGGGAAAGTGAAGGCAGCGGATCAACCGCTCTCCTTCCAGTACATCAAAGCGTGGAAGATAAACCTATTCAATTGCGGGAACTATTACTTTCATTCACATCATCAACATTCGAGCCATATTTTGCTTCTATCGGGGTGTTCCTCATGGCTCCACCATTCACATTGGATCTGCGCAGGCTACAGTGGGTTTCGACTCCGCATTCTTCTGGGCAGCAGACTTTGAACACGTTGGTCCGGAGGGCTGGCTCTCGTCTTGAGTGCTTGCGTGTAGCTCTCCCGCTTAGAAAACAACACTTGATCCCCGACCGTGGGTTCCTATGCTTTCAGTTGGTATCAGTTCATATCTCATGCAGATTTCTTAGAGGTGCTTGACATTTCCTCCAACACTAATCTCGTGGAGCTGCAGGTTGATTGCGATGGACGTACGAGATCTATCTGGCAGCCAACGTTTCTCTCCAAAATCCGATCGAGGCTTTTTCGGGCACTCGACCTCAACTTCGACCTGAGGCATTGTCCGCCGCAAGTGGACTTCTTGGATTGGGAATATATCGACAACGTTATCACATCCTTGACCCTGTCGAGACCCAATCTAATTGTTCGATTCTCTTTTCGCAGCCATATTACGGACACTATCTGGACCACAGACCTCATCCGAGATGTCGCAGCCGGGTTACCGGGAGTCCACGCCGCTGGGATTGGCGTAGGGATCTTATTCCGCGACAGGGATTTAGATGACATAGTTGTAGCGGAGCATTGGTTAAGTCCCGTTGCCCTCAGTCAGGGATTCGAGGAGAGGGTCATGATCAGTCAAGTTGAGACAATATAACATTAGCACATGTCATCTATTATATCATCTATCCCAGACGTGTATCCGCCCATACAAAATCCGTCCACAGAACCAATAAAAGTCGGAATCATCCATTTGCCCATCCACCAGGGGTACCTCGGACCAACCCAATGCGCGCCGCTAGTTGTCGTGCATGCATCGCCTGTAATCTCTTTGACCGAGCGAAGAGCACAAGCACAGCAATTACCGCGATGACGAAGTTACACATGAGGAATTCGTAGAAGTCTGCACGCTCCTTCTCGACGATGCGCCCACACGACTCCCATGCCGGTATCTCTCCTTGGCGGGGCCCACTTCCTGAGATAGATGGCGGAGCACTATGGTCCGATGACGGGTTATGACCGTATGTTGGTGACACGGGCGGCAACGGAGAGTGGCTCGAATACGAAGAGGCCAAGGCACAGTGCATCAGCCTGCGGTTGCCGAACGGCTGGCAGAAGGGCTCGTGCAACTAGAAGCTCAAACGTTGGTGAGGCCATTCCGACGGGAGAAGCTCACAAACTCACTGCATCTTCTGGACATGGCTCGCATGTTCCAAAGGGGCGGCAGATGAGGTCGGTGTTGTTACCAAGTGTCTGTCCCAAGGCCGAATATACGAGCGACAGCACTGCGATCCTTGAACGCTGTGCAGTCAGGGATAGAAGGCGTCAGAATTCCGCAGACTGACCATGTTTCCCATTTCAGCTTCATACTACATGCTAGTGTGAGGGGTGCTCGATACTGTGGACGGCCAGTGATGGTCCTGGGCAAGGTTGCAGTTGGTATATAAGTCGTAATTGTCGTTGATTGCCACTATAGTAGCAATTATAAGTGTGCCGCGGACTATATTATACCATTTGCAAGGTAAACGCGCGATCAAGTATTGGAAACTGCAGAGTCATTTCTCCTCCGACTTCACACAGCTGCAGTATTCTTGTTAGACCGGCATACTACTCGCCATATATAAATGTCTCGAAGGGCCGCGATAGTCGAAGAGTTCGATGATGACACTGATCTCCCTCTCCCTACCCGACCCCTGCCCAACACCGGTGCTCGCGGTGCTATTCTCGAGGAGCTATCCGACTCCGATGAAGACACTTCGACTCTTGTAGGTTCCACCGCAGGTCCTGCATCTCCCTCACAAACGCAGTTCAAGTCGACCGTTCCGGATAGAGATGAGATCGCAGCTAGGACGGTCACAGACATCACCCCGTACAAGAAGTATGTCCCTCCCAGCTTCTGCGTTCCATTAATGAACCCCTCCTTCTTGTCCGTGCTCTCTTCATGATCAACAATCAGATGGACGTGCGTCTACCCAATCTACATAGATGCTAAACGTCCTTGTGGCCGAGGCGAGCGGCGTATAGCGCGGCCCAAGAGTGTATGGTGGCCGCTCAGCAAGGACATCGCAGGTGCGGCAGATAGGCTAGGACTGGGGGCGCTGCATGAGATCCACAAAGCGCACCCGCGCGATTGGGAGAACCCAGGGAGGGTGCGCGTGCAGTGGAAGAAAGATGGGCGACTCGTGAATCCCGCGATCAGAACCAGTGCGTACCATACTCTCAATCCCCCCCTGCGCACGCAGGACCCATCGTCTTGAGGCGACATGCCAATGCCACACGCACAGAGAAACAGCTCCTCGAACGCATTGCGCAACAAATACAGCTCGTCAAACCCGATAACATCCCGAAAGCGCCGTATCACACGAGCACCGACCAAGCTGTCAGAGCAGAATCTGCGCAGCCTGCTGCTACTCAGAAGCCTGCAGCAGCAGCTGCTGTGAAGGGGAAGCAACCAGCGACAGGCGCGAAAGGGGGGAAAGCGTCGACGACAGCTTCGGCACCCACTAGCGCTGCGCCATCGAAAAACCACAGGCCAAAGCCGCCTAGTCCGCCATCGCCACACCCTCCGCTGACAAGTAGAGTCTCGCCGTACTCTCCAGCGCTGCCGTCCGGAGTCCTGATCGATGCTGTAAAAGCGGGGATGACCGCGCAGGAGGCTGCACCCGGTGTTGCTGGGGGTGGGAAGGGAAAGAGAAAGGTTATGCGAGTGAGGGCATGATGGGATGTAAGATGGTGTCACGATATGGCTGTTACTGTGCTTGTGTATGAGTGAAGCTGGTATACATTCCGCATACACATCTGGTCGGCGCGTGCTGTTTCAAACGCTCAAGCTCAAGGCTCACTGTCAAATGCTGTTCCCATATGAAACAATAGGACTCCTGGCTGACTGGCAGCAGCGTACGAAAATAGACCTCGTTCCGGGTTCAATGGGAGGTGGATTTATGGATTACAATAGGGAAATTGGGTATACAGTGTTTGCAAACGATACAGTGCATGCTACAGCCAAAACACAAATCTGGACATTTCGACCAATCTTAACCTTGAGTTTGCCAAATGATAGACTACATAGTGATTTCTACGCAATTTCCGATGGTGTGTGTTGGAGAGATTGTCCCGCAACCTCGCGCGTGGAGTCGGACGCAAGCCTTGCGAGTGCGTCACCCCGACTCGACTGGGCGCATTTCCACGTCCTGCTTCTGTCCAGCAGCCTGGAGACACTGGCCCCTCGCCTCAGCAGCCGCAAGCTGGGACTCCCGGTGCGCATTAGCGATGGCCAGCCTGGTCTGCTGCACCATGTCGAGCATGCCATGGACTTTCTTCAGGTCCAAGAAGACCCGCGGCACGTCTGGCGACAGGTGCAGTTTCTGATGCTTCACGATGGTGCACTGCGACGACGTGCGTGTATTTAAGCACAGAACAGAAAGGAGGAAAGGACGGCTGCGTACGGTAAAAATGAGGGATCTGATGACCTCCTCTCTCATCCAGCATGCGTACACGGGCAGCAGTGGGTCCATCTCGAAGACGAAGCCCCAGAGCACGTCGAACGTCATGAAGTACGACGGCCGATGGCTCTCAGGCAAGGGATGGGCGACCAGTTTGTTCAGCCCTAAACAGCCCTAGCCGATGAGACGTCGTGGTGGAGGCACCGAGGAAATATGCGTACGCCATACGATCCCTTTGCGGATCCAATTCACAAATAGCTGGCCCTGCAATATATTAGCCGAGGTGGGGCGGCCTTTCACCTGCGGCTTTGGCACCGCCTCGGTGAGATTGGCCATTTGCTGGGCGTTCAATGCCTCGCGAATCTCGTTGGGACGCGTGTCGAGCGGCTGGTTCCACTGCAGAGGGGCCAAATTTGGGGGCGGGGGCATGCCTGTGGGTGTGGTGCTGAGCGCTCTCCGCCGATTAGAGAGTACATGGGGGGGGGGGGGCCCCC